TTGGTGTCCGCTATGCCAGTGGTCGGTGAGGCGGGTCAGCTATTTGACTGACAGCTACAGCTGTTTGACCGACACTACCAATTAGGAAATGACTCAGAGTCCGGGAGACCATCCACGACCGAATTTTTTTTTGTATGGCATTTGACAGGTGGGACCAATCAGCTTGCTGGGGCTGTTCCCTACTATTCTTTATACGCGCCAGAGCATCGACGATATCAATACAAAGAGGTATACCTTCTTGGAGGACGTACGACACCGTCGCGTCATCAAAATAGATACCCATAGAGGTGCATGCCCGTGGAAATACCGTAAAATACCGTGGTATATGAAGCCTGTCAAATTAAAACCCGACGCTATCGGCCTAATAGCGATTTGAGAAAACGGGCCCCAAAGTTTTCCGCTCTTTTGATTGGTCGCTTTTAGGCCTCCTCATTGGTCGAACTGGCAAGGTGATAGATGGAACGAGCCAATGGCATAGCTTTGGAACGTCGCATGCAAACCTCTCGAAAACAATGCGAGGGAAGGGACGGCGGCATCGCCTCATAATCAGATTTGACACCATGGTCTCGCAGCTCGATTTGACGAAGCAAGTTGTCGCCAACTGCTGCATTTCCCGCCGCCGGCGCTCCGTTCTCTTGTGCTACCTCCTCTCGTGCTCCCTCTTGATTGTGCCCATCTTCCCGTAGCAGAGCAGGCGAGTCCCACCGACCGCGGTGGCTGAGACTTGGACTTCGACAGCGACGCAGATGACAACGCATAGAATGAGAAGGCTTGGGCACCAAGAACTTTGCTTGCAACACTTGCAAAAGGTGTGTTGCCGCGAGCAGAGTTTGATGCATCTAAGTGGGGACGGCATGAACCGAGAGTGCTCGTCCCAAGAGACCGTGAAGAAGCAGCTTGCCCATGCCCGTCGCTCCGGGGGCCGAGCCAAAAAAACGAAGCGACAGAAACACGATGAGAGCCCGTAAGAATAAATAAATTGTGACAGTACATTCTATATAAGTTTCTAAAGGACAAATGACGTAGCAAACAGAATGGCGAGGATTGGCCAGATAGCCCTACCCCTATGACACTTTGACGCCCGTTTTGACCGGGTAGCACTAAGTTTCTACCAACGATAGACCCACCAGTGGATTCCCCTTTAAAATCTGTCATAGATTACCACAATACTCCACAACTGTCCCAAATGTGCTACCGTCGGCTTTTAATTTGACTGACCTCATATGTGTATGCACGCAGCACATGATTGGTTAATACAGCATACCGGATGCTTATATCACCCACCTTACAATCAGCCAAGTGGCGCCTGTCGAATTTGGATTGATCACGGCCACCGAAAAAGTGGCCGTCAACAGCCGGCTGGCCACAATGGCGCGCGAGCTGCTCCCTTTTGAAATAAGCCTCCCAAACTAAATGTTGCATAAAATAGAACGGGATATCATGTCTCCGGAGTAGAATCGACACGCATTCATGTTTTCTTTCGACGATTTCTCGCAGTATACTCGTTTCTGCGGCCTCTGTGATGTGCGTTTCAATTCAGCGTAAAAAATCCAATCGATAGAGCCAAATTTCACGAAAATCGGTTACGTAGTTTTCGAGATAGCCAAAATTCGGTCGTGGATGGTCTCCTGGACTCTCAACTCGCTTGCTCTGCTCCTGGACCTTGGATCTTGTATACCGTGGATCGTGGTCTTCCAGATCGCTCGGCCTTGCGCCGAAAACCTCTTTCACTTCT